ATATATTTCTAATATCTAATTCAATCTTTCTAATTACATTTCCTCTTTGTTTTCTCTATTTTTTTTCTTTACTTAAAAAAACACTGATGATGAAGAAATTAAGAAACTAATGTTAAGTTATTTTTTCTACTGAAGTGAAAAAATAAAAATAAATTTGAACTTTAGGAACCAGAGTCTGTGCAATGCGGATGTAGGGCTTTAAATTCTGCCTATGGTGTTATGGCATTACATGACCTGTCTTTAAGAAACAAGAAAAATGACTATTTGAACATAGCACAGGGCTATAAAAAATTGTTCAGGGGAAACGTTGCATTCTGTACAAGTATATACTTTGCCTTTTAAATTTGTTTATTTTGTTGCACTGAATCAAATTTAAAAATGATCCAAAACAGGGACAGTCAAATCCGGTCCTCGAGGTCCACAGCCCCGCATGTTTAACTTGTTTCTCTGCTCCAACACACCTGATTTGAATGAATGGATGATCTTCAGGCTTCTGCAGAACTTGGAAGAGGTAATTCACTGACTGAATCAGGTGTGTTAGAGAGGGAAAAAAAAGTAAAACATGCAGGGCTGCAGACCTCAAGGACCATAATTGATCATGCCTGATCTAAAATCTGGTGGCACAGTGGCTCAATTGGTAGAGATGTTGCTTCTCAGCGAGAAGGTTGCCAGCTCAAATCCCAGATGAGCACTTTCTGGGTAGAGTTATCATGTTCTCTYTGTGATTGTGTGGGTTTTTCTGGGTATTCCCGTTTCCTCCCACAAACCAAAAACATGAGTGTCTAATTGACCCTGAAAGGAATAAGTGGGTTAAGATAATAGATGGATTTTAAGTATTTTTTTATTTAAAATTTAGTTATTTTTTCAAAATTTTTAAATAACTCATTGGCGTGGCAGATTGAAGTCGTCCGGCCTTTTGAATAATCCTGCCGTAGAACGTTAAGAACTAAAAGGATCAATAAAAATAAAAAAAAAAGTCTGAAGTGTTTTTCTTTKCTTTGTTTTCTTACTAATATTTTCATTCAGCTACAAGTGAAGGGGGTGGGATTTAAAACTAGTACTGAAACTAACTTACAGAGAACCTCGTCCTAAGCTGGCTTCCAGAATGCTGGTTTGAGGTGTAGAAAAATACAGTTTATGGCTTGAATGTTTCCTAATAGTTTTTCACTAATTCTAAATACTGAGACTGCTCTAATTGTTACCTGCTGTTGGTAAGATACTGCCTTCTCATACCTGGCCACTCCACACAATGCGCTTCAAAAAACAAAACTATGAAGTAACTTTTAGGCACAAAAAAATTGAAGAAGCTATCTTGGCCATTTACGATGGGGCGCTGTGCACAGTGCATTTCTGAATAAAGCATCTCAAATCACAGCAGTGTCAATATATAACAAAGATTTTTTTTATAATTTTGACTGGGAAATTCAATTTAGCTTGTATAATGTATATCCTAAACAGCAAAAATAAAATATTATTATGATTTAAAAAGTTTTGATGCACAAAACATTAAATTNGTATAATGTATATCCTAAACAGCAAAAATAAAATATTATTATGATTTAAAAAGTTTTGATGCACAAAACATTAAATTACTTTTTTATTTGTGGAAAATTATTTGTTCTTTTTGACTGTAAGCAAACACAAAATTCATTTATTTTATTCCAAGCACAACAATAACAGTCATTTTACGAGTTAGGTGGGAAACAACTTTGCTTTATGTATTTTACATCACAAAATATATCATGTAAAATTAAACTAATCTAAACAAACATTAACATGTAGTCATGTTTTCTTTTCTTTTTCACAGTTAAAACCTATAAAAAAATATTTATGTAATGCAAAGAAAATTGCTGAATATGAAATATGTTTTTACAATTTATAAATGTTTGAAACCATACAGAAGCAGGTTTAGTATACAATCATGAAAGGATAATGTTATATTTACTGAATAGTTTCACATCTTGTTCACGTAGTTGTGGAGTGTCTTGTTCCTACTTTGGATTTTAAACAGATTTTGAATATTTTTTTAATCGATGCTTTGATTTCTTTTGTCTGCAGAACATAAATGATGGGGTTCAACATGGGAGGAATGACTGAGGTTAAAGACAAGTTTATGATCCTGTTGTTCGGATGTATTTTCTCCATCAGGGTGAATGTTACCAACAGTGGGGTGAAATACACAACCACTAATGAAAGATGAGCTAAACATGTTTTAAAGGCCTTGACACCTTGTTGTAAAGTTGCCACCTTAGCTAAAGTATAACCTATATAAATGTAACTTAGCAGGATAAAAACCAGAGGAAACCAAAATATAATAACTGGGTAAAGGAAACTAACTACATCATTAGGAAAATTGTCATTACATGCTAAGCGGTAAATCTGACCATGATCACAGAAATAGCTGTTTATGACCACAGAATTACAAAAGGAGAGTCTTGTAAGGAGACAGACTGAAATAAGGTTAGCAACTATAACAAAAAGCCAGAACAAGGCAATCAGGGACAGCATAAACCTGCAGGTCACCTTCAGCTGATAGTGCAGAGGGAAGATGATGGCCATCAGGCGATCRTAGGAGAGAACAACCAGATTAAAAGACTGCATTGAAAGGCAAGCATAACAGAAAAACAGGAATGTCAAGCAGTCATTGTAAGGAATTATATTATGGTTAAATAAAAAGATGTCAAGCACTTTCGGCACCAGAGCAGTGCTACCTAACAGGTCCACAAAGGCTAGGTTGAAAACAGCAACATACTTTGGAGTTCTTAAGTTATGATCCAGATATATTACAGCCATAACAGCTGTGTTTCCAAGCACTGAAACAATGTAGACAAAAAACAAAAACACATAATAATGCTTCATATTAGGCAAGCCAATAAACCCCCTTATTATAAAATATGCAGGACGCACAAAAGTGATGTTCTTCCCTAAAGCAGAGTTGAATAACTCCATTAAAAAAATCAGCTTTCAGAGTTTAAAAAGGCAAAAGTGTGATTAATAAATCAAAGTCTTGTCTTCTGTGAGTCAGCCTCGTCTCAAATGAATGTAGAAATGGAGATCAGCTCTATTCCTGATTTCTTCTCTGTCAAGGTTTTAAATGATCTGATGCTTCACCTTGTGTCTAAAACAAAGCGTTACTGTCTTTTCCCCTGTGACTGCATCTTACTCGCTAGCATCCAATCAGCTCAGCACAAGTCAATATCGGCTGCATCACATAATTTCATATGTCTGCTCTGTTTTGTCAGCTAGTCTATTAGTTTGTTAGAACCCACATTTTGCATGAATGAATTCAAAAACGGGAAGAGACATGAAATAGATCTATATTCCTATAAAACAACTGATAGGTAAAGGAGATATTTTGGAGCTGGGTTCTGTGGAACAACTAATATCGTACCTGTTTTAGATAGAACTTTAAAACACTTCCGTTTGTAGAGATCATTTATTACGGACTTAAATCCTGAGCCAAAGACTGAAGTGTTTTGCTGCATTTCTAAAACTTTAATTTCAAAAGGTTTACAGGTGCTGGTCAAAAAATTTGATTATCATGAAAGGAAAAGTGATTTATTCCCAATCCCAATTCAAGATGGCGCCAGTATGTACAGCCTGCCGTCTGTCGCTCCTGCACTTTTTCATACTTTCACTGTTTTTACTTAATATTTGCAAAGGGGTATTTTCACATATACAGTATGATCGCAAGACATTTTTGGAGCTCTGTAGTTTTTTCTGGATCGCTGGCAAACTTCTCATCATATGACCACCAGGACTCTTCAGCATCCCTGTTCGGGATACAGGCCACCATCCATCGGGACCCAAGGCTACCTCCCAGGAGGAAGCATCACAAACAGCGAGGAAGATGGTCCGGGTTGCTGTTGAAGCTAGCAAAGCTGAAACATCATAAGAATTATTCCACCAAGGATCTCTTGAAATCATATCAAGTTGACCACTGCTTCTCCAACCTGTCCCGGATATTGGATCCCCCTGGCTTGATAATAAACAGCTCAAAGCATCAGCGCTCTCATCCACAACGACTGGCCAGCTAGGTGCAAATCTTCAGAATCTGCGGCCGCTGGCGCGCATGGTGCATATGGAGGTGGGCCAACTGACTGGCCAAGTTAAAATCCATCTTGTAAAAATCTGGAGACAGTAATCCATGCATTTATTTAATCCAGGCTGGATAACTGTAATGCTCTGCTGTATGGAATCAGCCTGTCTTCCATTGCTCAATTGCAAATGGTTCAGAATGCACAAGTAAAAAAGCACATATCACTCCTGTTCTAGCATCTCTTCACTGGCTTCCGGTTCATTTCAGAATTCACTTTAAGATCCTCCTGTATGTCTTTAAATGCCTAAACAACWCCGCCTCCTCTTACCTCTAGATCTAGTGCATCCACTTGTCCCACAGCGCTCTCTTAGATCATCTGGTCAGCTGCTTCTGAAGGTCCTTAACTCTCGTCTCAAACTGAGAGGTGACAGATCCTTTTCTGTAGCAGGTCCAAAACTGTGGAATGATCTACCACTACATGTCAGACAGTCTCCTTCCCTCGCTGTCTTCAAGTCTCATTTAAAAACACACTACTACTCCCTTGCCTTTTAGTCTGAATGAGATGTGCAAAACCTCACCGTGAATAATAACTCTGTTCTATTTGTWCTGTAAATATGAATGCTCCATATTTTTGATTTGTATTTTGATTGTATTTTAACTGTAATTCTAACTATGTCCTGTTATGTCTGTCTACTGTACAGCACTTTGTTTGGCCTTGTGCTGTTTAAAGTGCTTTATAAATAAAAGTGGTATGGTATGGTATGGTATGGTATGGTATGGTATGGTATGGTATGGTATGGTATGGTATGGTATGGCATGGTATGGTATGGTATGGTATGGTATGGTATGTCAGGAATTCCAGTCAGAAAGTGAAACTTGTATATTATATTAATTCATTACACACAGACTGAGATATTTCAATTGGTATTTCTTTAGAGGACCAGCATTGTAGTGGGTATCTAGCTATTTGAAAGATAGGAAACAGTTTGTTCAAATAAATCATGTAAGATGTGAACTCTGTGACATCACATGTGGAGTTCCTCAATGTTCTGTACTTGGAGCAAAGTTATTTATTTTATATGTGAATGACTTGGTAAATGTGTCAGGACTTTTTAAATGTGTTTTATTTGCAGATGATACCACATTTTTTTATTTGGGTAAAGATCTGTGGTGGATGCTGGTCKTTCAAGAAGGGGAAGCTCAATTTCGGCCTACATCATAAAATGTGTCAGTTTATTTATACGTAAATTCTACCCTCTGTTCCTTTTCAAGAAAATGATCTGTGACCCTGTCCCAGATCATTTTACAGCGCTTCCTTTCAGCCAGCTCACTTTGTCATACCAGGACAGCTGAAAAGATCTATTACCTTTCCCCACCTTTTGCACCAAATTAATCTGAGGAGTTCATCATCCCTGCTGTTTAACTCTAAGTTTTTCTTCGTAAGGAAGACTATCACATGGCTTTGCCAAAATCTAGTCCACAACATTCAAACTGTCCGGCTTTGTGGGTCAGGTCTGTGGTCCCCCACAGTCACTGTGAAACATTCCWTTGGAGAGATCTTGTATATTCATGCATGCTCACAACCGCACACAAACAGGTGTTTACATCCTGGGTTTTCTATTCGGGCACTGACTGAATGGTATGTGCATATACAGACATATGTATATGTG